ATGATCGTTTAGATGTTACAGGTTTCACTTCATTATAAGATAATAATTCATTAACAATATCATCATACCAATTTACATTTGAACTATTTTTTAAACGAATATAAACATTATCAATATGATCATGTGGAATGGAATTGAAAACATCATAGAGTGTTTGAAGTACATCATCTTTAGTCGTTGTTGATGGTGTAATAACAGTGGTAGCAGCAGTAGAAGCAGAAGCAGTAGTAGTAGTAGCAGCTATAGTTGTAGTAGAAGTAGCTGATGATTTTTCAATTGAATTCGAATCTTTTGTTGGATCAGTTACTTTACCAAAAGAAAGAATTTCAGCAACAAAATTTGAACAAATAGTTTCAATAGAAGTTGATTGACGAATATGCCATCCGATAAATTCAAGTGGAATTTTTATATCAGGAAATATATCATGTAAACGATCACGTACTAGAATGACGGATGGATGCTGAAAAATAAATTGATATAAATACTTAAAATATATCAAAAGAAGTTATTTCGTCAAATAGAATCACGTTTATACTATAAGGTATTCATATACAATGGCTAAGAAAGATGAATAGCAGATTATTAAATTTATTCAAATACTTCTACGGAATTTTTATCATCGAAGATTGAAGATAAAGAGAAGTTATTATTATGTAACTTCATCGATGTCAACTCATATAAAACAAAAACCCACTGTTATTCACGCATTTCATCAAATCTAACTAGAATTACTATCGAGCTTTGCTTCGTCGATTGTATACCAACTAATGTTAGCTTAACTTTATCATGGGTACTGTTAACCCGATATTTGATTGAATTATAATATCAACTGGTTTTTGTCTAACACAAGATTTTAATTGACGAAATTTATGCTCATTTAGAACTGAAGTATACATGAAATCACTGTTCATGATTGATTTCGTTTGTTATTCATTATGCTAAGTGATGTAAGATGATTCTAAAGCATCGGAGTAAACTCAGATGAAATATTTTACAGAATATAGTA